GATTCCGCTGACCCTTCTTGTGCTCCCTGTCGGTTTTCCTTTTCCTGACGCAAGCTCTCTGCATATTCTGCGCCACCTCCTCGCATGCTTCCTTCATTTCTGGTCCCTTCTGTTTTTACTCAGCGTATTTACTCTTTTCACTGTCCCAGCTAGTAAATACTGCTGTGAATCCTTCTGAGATGATTTTTCCTGCATTTTTTTCAGTTCATTGGGAATTTAGCCAAATCTCGATTACTGTGTTATTTTACAAAAAAAAAGAAAGTCATATAAATGTAGATCTAGAAAGATCTTTATGTTGTCCAAACACATACTATTCCTCATGAAGAAATGAATTGAATACTGGGGGCCAATTGGCCCTTTTCACTCGTCTAGTTAGTGGTAAAGTGAGTACCATTGTTCCCTGCTAGCCTGTGAAGGAACACACGGAAACCTCTTTAGTCAGACGTGTAGCTAGAAAATAGTCTGTTTATAAATAAAAATACTTTGGTTATTTACTTTTAATCTCACTTTTGTTCTTTCCCTCAGGCCATCAAGCCCTGTCGTCCTATGACCAACAATGCTGGCAGACTTTTCCACTATCGAATTACAGTCTCCCCTCCCACAAACTTTTTAGTAAGTTCCAAACAAAATCAGATTTCATTTATTTTAAAATGCAAGTAGGTTGAATGTGTGTAAATAGGTTAAAATATGAATAGACTAAATACTGATTCAGTTCTTAAATGTTTTTTCTTTTAAAATACCCTAGTTTTATGTTGATAAAATTGGCTTTTATCATGATGGCTTTTATTTTTACCTTCTCACTAGACTACTTTCTGTATTCTTTTTCATTTATGTCGTTGGTACCACATAATAGCAAAGAATTATGGAGCTGTGGAGTTGGAAGTATGCATAGAACACTTTTACATCTCTTAAAAATCAGCAAATAACTTATAAGTTATCTAGTGACCCAAACAAGAAAATGTATTTATAACAATAATAATACTTAACATTTGTTGACTATGGTTTTGGGCACCATTCTAAGTATTTGACATGTATTAACTTATTTCTCACAACAAACCGATGAAGCAGGTACTGTTACCCCCTCTCTACAGATGGCATATTTTACAGATAGTCCATATTTTACAGATGAGGTTGGGTAGCTTGCTCAGGATTACTCAGGTAGTAAGCAGCAGAGTGGGGTTTGACCCTGGGCAGCCTGTGCTTGGCTGTGTGCTGTTTCACTACGCTATATTGCCTTTCACAGTACAAAACTTACTAGTCCTGGTTACTTGCATCATCAAGAGATTTCAGTTTCAAAATTAGATATTAATAATTATGTATTTAACAACCTTATTGAGATATAATTCATATACCTTAAAATTTACCCATTTAAAGTGTATTTTTTATAGTTAGTCTTTTCACAGAACTGTGAAACCATCATTACTGTCTAATTTTAGAACATTTTCATCAGCCCCAAAAGAAACTGCGTACTCAGTAGTAGTCAGTTCTTTCCCACCCCCAGCCTTCAGCAACTACTAAGATGCTTTCTGCCTGTCATTTGCCTGTTACAGATATTTAATATGAATGGGATCATAGAGTATATAATCTTTCTGGCTTCTGGTTTCACTTGGCATAATGTTGTTGAGATTCACCCATGTTGTAACATGCAACTTTATTCCTTTTTATGGCCAAATAATATTCCATTGTATGGACATACTATATTTTATTTATCCTTTCATCAGTTGAGGAACATTTGGGTGGTCTCCACTTTTTGGCTATTATGAAAAAATGCTGCTGTGAATGTTTGTGGACAAGTTTTTGTGTGGATGTGTGTTTTCATTTCTCTTGGGTATAAACCCAGGACTGGAGTTGCTGGATCGTTTGGTAACTCTATATTTAATATTTTGAGGAACTATCAAACTGTTTTCCGGAGTGGTTGTACTATTATTATTTCGTTAGAAGTTCTTTTTATTATATTTAATTTAGACCAACTTTGTTGAATTATTCAAATGGAAAGTAACAGTGATACTGACAAACCAAATAAATTTGGATACTCTTTAGTCCTCTCCTTGGAAAGTTCTTCCTGTGTGTGTATAAAATGTATAAAAGAATAATGTTTAATACCTATGTAAAAAACATATCTTTTAGGTTATTAGTCTTGAGAATTAGTTCCATATTTAGTATTTAGGATTAAAAATGATGGGTTATAAGAGTGGCAGGAGGAAGAGAGTCTCATGCATAGATCAGCATTGGTATGTTTTTATTACAGATTCAATTTTCAGCAATTAAGGTCTTGGGCATTATGCAGGAATTGATCTGTTACAGCATTTGGTGGGTTGGCTTCTCCTAGTAGAACCTGAGGGTTGAGCTCTGGCAGCCTGAGACCTTTCAGAGCCGTCCACATTGTTAGTCATGATGCTGAGTCTTTTCTTCACTTTGAGCTTTGAGTCAGCTGTGTTACTATTTTGTTCTTATTAGGACTTCTGTTCGTTTAGAAATACAGCTGAGGAAGAACAGGACTGGTAGTACTGTGGGATTAAATACAGCAAGTTCCTAGAAAATGAAGTCATATAGCCTCCCCTCCCCCCCATGGCATCCATAACAAACATTCTTGATTGTCTAAGTATATAAATATTACTGAAGCCAGAGAATTCCACCTAAAATTAAACTTTTGTATAAAACTCTCCCTGGTGTTTGAACAAACATTAACTAAGTTCGTACAGCCTTACGTTTTTCCTGGTGGTTGCTTTGTGTCCTGACGGATTTCTGCACATGCAAATCATGCCATTATTTAATCCAAGCTTTGTGTTTCTGTTTGCTTTCAGACTGACAGGCCAACTGTTATAGAATATGATGATCACGAGTACATCTTTGAAGGATTTTCTATGTTTGCACACGCCCCCCTGACCAATGTGAGTATGTGCTCATTGGCTGGCTTTCTCTGTCCCTGAATGTACCTCTTCCTTCCCTGCTTTCCCTTCATTCTTTCTTTCTAAAAATCAAAATAAATTTCCTTCCATCTGACTTCTAAGTAACATTTACTTTGTGTCCCTCTGCGTGAGCTGCAGGAAGTCTGTGGCAGTGTGTGTCAGGTGGCAGTGAGACATCTGTGTTAATGAGTCACAGGTTTGGTCCACATTAAACGGTGTAAGTAAACGAGTTGGAATAACATTTCAAGAGTGTGAAGGATTGAAAAACGGTAAACTGTGGAGTAATGTGTCAGAGCTATTTTGGGTTGGGTGTCCTTCAAAGGAAAGCTGGAAAGTTTTAAGAAGCTGTTGCTATTTCTATTCCTGAGCAATAGAAAAAGAAATAGAGCTGGTGCAGGACATCTGGAGCCTGAATTAATTTCATATAGTTTTCTGCTTTTGAATCCCAGGAGAGTATCTTCTTTAAGAGACTTTGACACACAGATCTATGGTGTTTTTATACAGGTATTAAGGCTGCTCTGTTAGTAACCATTTCAAATGGAAGTTCTGTAGCTATGAGTCAGAAGCTTTGTGTCCAAGCTGGCAGTCTTGGGAATTGTCTTACTTACTCCGCGGTCCACCTGGACACGGAGTGAATTTGCTGGCTGCTCAGGGAGAGAGAGCAGTATACTTTACCCAGCCTAGACACCGCTGTAGAACTCACTGAATTAGAGCTACATCAAAATAGAATGTCCTCTAATCCTTTCTGGTTTGGTTACAAGAAATTACATATGCAGTTTGAAAAGTTATTTTAGCACTCTTTATTTCAGACTTGAAGTTCTGTTCCTCTAGAGATTAAAGATTCAAGTCTGCCAAACCTTGTTCCTGTCTTTTTTTTTTTTTTAATATACCTTTATTGATTTCAGAGGGAGGAAGGGAGAGGGAGAGAGAGAGAGAGAGAAACATCAGTGATGAGAGAGTCATTGATTGGCTGCCTCCTGCATGCCCTCTACCAGGGATTGAGCCTGCAACCCGGGCATGTGCCCTGACTGGGAATTGAACCACAATCTCCTGGATCCTAGTTAACATTTGTCACCTTACATAATTACAGAATTTTATATTGGACTATTCTTTTTTGTGTTTTTTTTAAAAATATATCTTTATTGATTTCAGAGAAAGGAAAGGAGAGGGCGAGGGAGAGAGAGAAACATCAATGATGAGAGAGTCATTGATCAGCTGTAGCCCACAACCCAGGCATGTGCCCTGACTGGGAATCGAACCCCGATCGCCTGGATCCTAGATCAACGCTCAACCGCTGAGCCACGCCCGGCTGGGCTGGACTATTCTTAATCTGTATGAAAAGGCATTGGGGGGTTTTTGAATTTTGGTGGCTTTGTTGTCTCTTAAAAAACGTCTCAGGCACTCAGATCCTTTGTTACACCAAATCTCCCAGTCTTAGTGTAGAATAGTCCAGCTTCCCCTTCCTAATGCCTTTCATTTTTTCCCCTTGTAGGATTTGCAAATACAAATAATACAGTCACCATTTAGAAGTATGTTATCATCTTATTTTTTAATTCCCTAGAAGTAGTGTAGATCTGACTTTAACTTCTAGGATCACCTTAATCAAAGAAGGAAAGCAGTTTGGCTTCAGAGAGACCCAGGTTTTATACATTAGTGAATTCCACTTACTATCTGTAGGATTTGACATTTCAATCTTTATAAGCCCTGATTTTTCTCATCTTAAGATAGAGATTAGTTTTAGCAATAGGCTTTATGTAAAAAAAAAAAAAAAAAAAGAGATGACACATGGAAAGTGTTTATCATACAGTGCTTGGCATACAACAAATACTGCACTTCTTATTTTGGAAAATATGTCAGAAATACCTCGGTTTGAATCTTTCTTCTAATTCTCTCTCTTTTTTAAACTAATTATTAATATCTATGTGACTTTGGACAAGTGATTCTATGAGCTTTATTAAAATCCCTCAGGTTTGGCACTGAGAGGCTGTTAATGCTGAATTAATTGCAGTTGTTACTGTTATCATAAAATATAGGACTGAAAAATTTCTGGCTTTAGCATATATTTTATATAAAAATATTCAAATTCTCAAAATTTGAGAACTTAACTCTGTAATGAGTAGATAAGCCCCATCATTTATGTTATGGATGTTGATAAAATAAATCGAGTATTAAGCTGAGTGTTGTACAGTTCATCGGAATTAGATCCATCAAAGGCCTCTTGAATTTGAAATAGCCTCCCAAGAAAAGGAATTATGAAATCACTTTACCGATCTGATTCATTTTCTTGCTGCAGAGAGCACATCGGAAAGGATGGCATGCAAATGATTGTAATGTTAGAATCTCAACCAGTCTGGTTCCCACAAGTTCTCTTCACGTCTGCTTGCATTAAAGTGGATTGAAAGCCTTGTTGGCTAAGTATAGAGCGTTCCAGGAGAATTTAATCCTTTTATGTGGTACATTTACTGTTGTAATACCTGATGTTACTCAGAGCTTTGACAACATAAAAATTATAAAGATACACGTATTAGACTCATAATGTCTTATCCCATCCTACAAAGCCCCAGGATCATTTCCCTCCTGCCTTTGCTGGCTTTCCATTTCCAGCGGCCTCACTGCCCTGGACTTGGTCATTTAGTGTCTGGACGTGGTAGAGGTAGAATAGAGGTAGAATATGGAAGTTTAGGGAGTGGTTTTGTGTTGGTTTTTTTTGCTTGTCTTTGGTATGATGAGATAGAAGTTAGTATCAGTTGGTGTCCAAGGATGTTTTAAGAAACGATTGTAGTATTTGTATTATTTGGCCAATTAAGCTTCTAATCAATTGAGCTTCCAATGTGTAGGAACCTGACGCACCTTCTCTGCGTCTTAGAGAAGATGAAAGCTTGAGTACAACTGGAGATCCTGCCTTTCCAGTTGGTGTGTCTAAGGGCTCCAGGGGTGTGGATGAGAGTCCAAAAGAAAATAAAGTATACATGGGAGAAGAGGCCAAAGGAAGAATCCCCAAAAAGCGATTTTAGTTGAACGATACGGGGAAGGATTGTATTTGCGTGAATCGCCCATCAGAGTTGCTTTTGCGCATGGCCGGGGAGTGAAGCTGACACTGGGGCCCTGCTCTGCTGCCCCCTCTCTGCCCAAGGCCTCTCTCTGGTCCCTTCCTCTCGCGGGTGCCCTCTCCCCGAGCAAGGCAGCCTCACCCACCGCTTTTCCTCCTGTGTGTATTCCGATCCCCACCGAATCAGTATTTATGGCTGTGACACGCGGCCCTTCACTTCACCCTCCAGCTTCAGGTTGCTTGCTGGACATACCCACCTTCCTGTCCCCGCAGGTACCTCCTCCCCAACCTGTGCGAATCTGGACTCCTCGTATTCCCCGCACACCGAGCTCGCGTACGCAGGGAGTAGTGTGCTGTGAATTTCCTTGCATCAATGGCATTGTGATGTATCTGGTCACTTAGCCCAGAAACCCAGAAGTCATTTTCTATTCTTTCTTCTCTCTCACTTCCACATCAGAGCGGTCGCGGTGTATTTCAGGAAGATCTCTTATGCTTCCAGTTTTTCCCCTCCTTTCCAGCCAGTCCTCTCCTCGTTTGGCCCCTGGACTGTTTCGTTAGACTCTGGTCTGGTCTTCTGGTCTCCTGCCTGCTCCCCTCTAAACCATGCCCGCGCTGGTCACATGGCCACTCATCCAGAATGTAAGCTGTGATCGCCTCTCCCGTAAGGACGCGAATGACTTCTCCTTGCTGTAGGATAAGCCCTAATCCTTCACGTTGTTTGCAAAATTTGCATAGCACAGTTCATACTTTTCCTGTCGAGAACCGCCTTGCTTCTCCCTCACACACACTTCACTCCCAAGCAGCTAAATCACTAGCTCCCTTTGCTCTCTCTTGGTAGAAACTGAATACCTGCTCTTCCCCAGCTTAATTTTTCTGGTTGACCTGGAAAATCCCTCCCCATCTTTGAAGACTCAACTCAAATGTTACCCGTTTGTTCTTTTGAACGTTATACTCTGTTTGCGTATTTTTTTATTGTACTTACAAGTTACGTTGCATCGTGTTCTGTTTATACTTTCTTACACACCTTTCTTCCTCCTTTAGATCCTTACCTTTTATAAGAGGTAGGGGCTGTGACTTATTTTAGAGTAAATCTGAACCTAACATCGTTGTTAGCAAAGAATAGGTATTTAAAAAACGTGAATAATGCCCAAATTTGTAGCTCTCAAATAATTTTTAAATATAAGACTAAAAAGAACTTAAAAATGATGGTGACTTTAGCATGTTGCTCCGGTTGGTTTAGAACTCATTTATTACCACAAGAAGGTTAAACATGGATCTCTTATTAAATTATGAATTTTACTCAAATTAGCCATTATCCTCTAAAAAAATTAAACAGCACCTAAGAACTAAATTTCATTTCTGAGAAAAAGATTTCCAGTAGATGGCATTATAAGATTATTTTTGTTTTTCTTAGCATTCCTTTCACTGGTAGAATTAAAATTTCTGATTGCCATGGTTTGTAAAAACAATTACATTTATGTAAAATTGTCTTATGGACAGACTGAGCTGCCAGAAAAGCCTGCTTAACACATCTCTAGGGCTTCTGAGTTTGTTATTTCCCCAGTCAGTCAGCCAGGCCACTGCAGTAACTCCACACCTTCCCTTCCTCATTCCTTCCTTCATTCAAAAGTATATAAAAAAAGTATACTTATGAACACCTTGCTGTGTCTAGACCCTGGGCTGGTGACTGCCAGTGCGTTAGTAAAACAAACAGGTGTGGATTTATTTAAATGAGCCTTCCTTCACCTTCACATGGACCCGATAGTGGAGCAGGTCATGAGACGTATGCGCTCTAGTGGCTTAGAGCTCGGGTCTAGAGCAAGATTTTCAAATTCACCAGCTACCGGCTCCCCTAGGCAAGGTACCTCCTGACTCTGCTTCAGTTTCCTCCACCGTGAAAGGGGGGTAGTAGTTGTACCTATCCCACAGGGATGGTTCCGTGAGTGACAGTACAGGAAGCATTAGAGCAGTGCCTGGCTCAGTAAATGTTAACTATTATTATTTTTATTCTGCTTTATTGTGATTATTACCATGGTTCTTTTGCTCCTGAGCCAGACAGGCAGCCTGACTTGTGTGCATGTCAGCGTGTGCACGTTAGTGACTTAGGAATCTGTAACCCATGAGTTGTCAGCCTGCTATCCCTGATCTTCCCGAAGAGCCAAAGTTCTGAAAGATTTAAAAACCTGAGAAAAAGAAGTATTTAAGTGTGGTTTTATTAATTCTCTGGAGGCGATTTGTTTGGCTTTAGTGGGTCCTTGTCATGTCTGTGTTGTTACTCATACAGTGAATTACGCACCAACATTATGTAGGTTTCCTGGAGAGGCCGGGCCAGCTGGGTTCCTGCCATGAACACCCAGCAGTTGTGGTCAAGCTTTGTGTGCAGCATTGTTAGCAGCTTAGATTAAGTGAAACTTCTCATTTGGTTCATGGCCTTCTGGGTCAAGTAGCAAACACGTGCGCAGCGAGAGCCTGTGGGAGGGTGTAGCGGAACTGAACCTCTCTTTATTCCTGCAGATTCCACTGTGTAAAGTGATTAGATTCAACATAGACTACACGATTCATTTCATCGAGGAGATGATGCCTGAGGTAAGGCAGAAGGTTGCTCAGCAGCTTTGTCTTTTGTGTGTTCCACACTTACACCTTTAAAGCACTGGACTCGGCCAGCTCTGGGTTTCGGCCTCAGGAATACCCCTAAAGTATTGTGGTCACTGTTGAAAGGGTCAGTGAGATGGAGCTCTAGGAACAAGGTTAAAAAAATTTGGGCCATTTTTCAACTTCTGGAGCCATTTCTCCTTGTTTTGCATCTACCGATAGTAACTGTACGTTCATTTCTGGTTTGTTTTCGATGGGGACAGACTTTGATTACTGGTTGTTATCAGAGGAAATTAGAGTAGTGGAGCTGAATCTGATGGCTGTTGGAATAATCTTATTCATTATCTCCAATGACAAGATCAGTGCTCGGTTCATTTTTCTTCCCATATATTTACATATTTTTTCTAATTGTTTTTCACTGCGGCTGCTCAGCAGCAGATTTATCTAAATATATGCGAGTGGTTTAAAATTCCAAAGCAAGATTAATGTGAATCTCAGGATGATTCATTGCCTGATCTTGAATTTAGTGATGTCAACAAATCACACTAAGAAATAACAAGGAGACAGCAAACAAGCCTGTGCACTTAACCTTGCGTTGGAGTTGGGGTCGATTTCCTGAGCCCCTGGCTCTTCTCTCAGACCTTGTTCAACAGCACAGCCCTGTCACGGGCTGCGAGTGCCGGGGGGAATTGATAAGCGTGACACACATGCTTAGTCTGCACCTATTTCATTCAAAGCAAGTCCCGGTAGTTCTACCTGTCTTTCCAAAAGAATTAAAGAGAAAGGGCCACCCCCTCATTCTCTGGCTTAAAAGGGCTTTTTGCTTCCTTCTGATTTTTAAGGCCATAAGCCTTCATTTGCTATTGTAAAGGTTTATGAGTCTGGAGTTATCTCCCACAGGGTGATTTATGAACCCCGAGCAAAACAAATAGGAAGAATTATGAGACAAGTCTTACTTGCAAATATATCACCGGTTAAGCTTGTTTACTGGAGAAATGTCGCTACAAAGTTTTTCGTAGCCCTTTATTTGCCTTCATTAAGAATTTGAACTTTTTTGGTATGAGAGACCTCTGTTTATGGTAACTCTAACTGATTCTGGGTGTGTTTGAGGGATGGCAGTGAGCAGGGGTGGGCTGAGTGGGACAAACCTACCAGAGCCTGCTGCCTTTTGTGTGTGTGTGTGTGTGTGTGTGTGTGTGTGTTTAATTTGAATGAACAAAAAGTCTCCAGGAGATTCTGATTTTATAATTGGGTTAGAAAAATATGACATAAAGAAGACTTTAATTTTTAAATTTCATAATCATTTTACTTGTACGTTGGGAAGGACTAAGTTCACATTTTCTTAGGAATCCTAATGCCACTCTTGCCTACTTCCTTTGTGTGTCAAGCCAATGAGCTGTTATTTATAGGACTGTGGTCAAACTTTTTAGGAAATTACATGGTTTTAGGATAGTTTCAATAGACACTTTTTAACCCTTGACTAGAACAGGTTGAACCTTCAGTTAATATATATTTGCAGTACTGTAGTAATTTGACTTTGGTTTATTTTTCAGAATTTTTGCGTGAAGGGACTTGAACTCTTTTCATTATTCCTATTCAGAGATATTTTGGAATTGTACGACTGGAATCTTAAAGGTCAGTAATAGGATTGAAAGAAAAGTGTAATGCTTATAGAACGTTGTGGTACATGGGGCGGGTGGGGAACATAGTTGAAGTTTCTCTTATTTTTTGAAATACCCAGGAAAAGTGTGAATCATGGGAACACTTGCTATCATCTGACAGGAATAAGTTCTGTGGGTCTTATTTTAATACAATTTGACAGTGTCTATGGCCGAAGATTACCATTATCCATTACCTAACTGATATAAGAAGATGGTATCAGTTATTCTGAGTCATTACCTTGATTTATGTGCATTGGGGGAAACCTCATTCATTAATATTTTAAAGCTGTTGAACTTTATTGTAATCAACTTCCAAGGTAACAGTTTATTAAAACAGAACTTTGCTTTATCCTCAAAACACAATTCATACACTGTGTGCTACATCGATTTGACATGGTACTTGGACCTTGGATAATGGTTTACTCTTTTGGAGGTGTCTGTATTCCAGTGAACAGTTATTTATTTTCTAAACAGTCAATTGATGAATGGCTTTTCAAACCAAGTTTTTAGTAGTATTTAGTCTCTTTTTTTCCCAGTTGTATTGATTAAAAGGTAAAAGAATTAAAGCACAAGCATATTATATCATACAGTAGTTCAGTTATAACAAAAATCTTTTTATTTTTTGAATTTCTACAAATAGTTTTGCCTTGTATACCGTGAAGCACATATTTTTGGGCTTTTGTTGCCTTCTGACAGTGGGTGGTCTCTTCACTTCAGTCTTCATGGGACATTTGTGGCAGTTACCACAGGGCTGATGTACCTGTTGAGAAGAGGAGTGGTGTGTGTGTTTTTTATATCCCTACTTCTGGTGGTGTTTGTCATTATACTGAATCTTAGGAATTAGTTTGCAGCGTTTGTTTTCTAAGGCTGTTTTATTTATTTTCTTTCCTTTTCACTTGTTTGCTTTAGGTCCTTTGTTTGAAGACAGTCCTCCCTGCTGCCCAAGATTTCATTTCATGCCACGCTTTGTAAGATTTCTTCCAGGTAAATCTTTTGGCTTGTCTGTGACCTGTTGAGATAGTGCATCTGAAAATACACCTGCCATTCTCCTTTCAATCTTTAGGGACAGCTTTCCCACCGCAGACACTGGTAATTGTCTCCTTCTCAGGTCAGGCATAAAAATGTGAAATTGTACACGCTGATGTATACCCCTGCATACTTCATGGTTGCCCCAGATTAGATGAGCAGTGGGAGAATTGCTTGAAAAATTTTGAAATTTCACTTGATAAAATATCATGTGTTAAGATTAATATGGAGCCCAGCTGGGTGTGGCTCAGCGGTTGAGCATGACCTAGGATCCGGGCGATTGGGGTTCAATTNATGTGTTAAGATTAATATGGAGCCCAGCTGGGTGTGGCTCAGCGGTTGAGCATGACCTAGGATCCGGGCGATCGGGGTTCAATTCCCGGTTGGGGCACATGCCCAGGTTGCCGGCTCGAACCCCAGTCGGGGGGGTGCAGGAGGCAGCTGATCAATGACTCTCTCATCGTTGATGTTTCTCTCCCTCTCTCTCTCCCTCTCCTTTTCTCTCTCTGAAATCAATAAAGGTATATTAAAAAAAAAAAGATTAATATGGAAAAATGCATGTGGCTTAAAAATGCATAGAGTTAATTGGAAAATAATGATTCCAAAATTTCATATATGATATGATTATAACCATGCTAAAAATTACTGCAATAGTTATATTAAGGTAGTGGTATTAGAGTTGTTTTTTTCTATTTTTTGGCATATGCTTTTATTTATTTTATAGTGAAAAAAAAAATGACTTATTTTCTCACTAAATTAAAAAACATAAGTAACTATATGACATTTAAAAAAAAATTTATCTTTATTGTTGAGAGTATTACAGGTGTCCCATTTTTCCACCCCAATTTACCCCCTCTACCTCACTCCCACCCTCTCCCCAGGCCTTCACCTCATTATTGTCTGTGTCCATGGGTTATGCATATATGCATATAACTTCTTTGCTTAATCTCTTTTCACCCTCCAACCCCTTTCTCTCTGAAATATGGTCGTCTCTTACTTGCATCAATGTCTCTGGATCTATTTAGCTCGTCAGATTCTTTTGTTCATTAGCTTCTTCTTAAAGAAGACCCTTCAACTTTTCCTGTAGTGCTGGTCTGGTGGTGATGAACTCCTTTAGCTTTTCCTTATCTGTGAAGCTCTTTATCTGACCTTCAGTTCTAAATGATAGCTTTGCTGGGTAGAGCAATCTTGGTTGTAGTTCCACTTTGAATATTTCTTGCTACTCCCTTCTGGCCTGCAAAGTTTCTGTTGAGAAATCAGCTGACAGTCGTATGGGGGCTCCCTTGTAGGTAACTAACTGCTTTTATCTTGCTGCTTTTAAGATTCTCTGTTTGTCTTTAACCTTTGGCATTTTAATTATGATGTGTCTTGCTGTGGGCCTCTTTGGGTTCCTC